TCTCTTTTGACTCTTTTGGTGAAGTCTTTTGAAGAGCATAGGTGTTTGATTTTTAGGAGATCCCAGTTATCTAGCTTATCTGTTGGGGTTTGTGCGTTGATGGTTATGGTTTGTATCCTGTTAATGTCATGTATTAAGGCCTGAAGTATTGGTCCTATTTTTTCTTCTATGAACTTTATACTTTTAGGCTTTATATTCAGGTCTTTGATCCATTTTGAAGTAGTTTTTGTATACGGTGTGAGATATGGGTCCTGTTTCATTTTTTTGCAAATGGATATCCAGTTTTGCCAGCACCATTTGTTAAAAAGACTGTCTTTTCACACTGCCTTGCATTTTAACCTAACTGCTGATGGCACATCTGAAATCTTCAACTATACTACAAATTCTCTACAAGTTCTGTGCTTCTGAGTATACTAAACATACTGGTACATACAAAGATTTTATAAATTTACCTAAATTTCTTGATGGCTATAGTAGAAGTACAAACAGATGGTCCACAGAAATTCCAAGTATACTTTATGGTCTGCAGAAAAATTCCCTGGAGGTGTTAAAATGATAAGAGATCAAAGGCATGGCCGTGAGCCCTCTGGAGAGAAGCCTTGTTAGCAGAGGCTAAGTCACAGGCAGTTCGTGACTCTGGTTGTAAAAACTCTGCCTCAGAGAGGTAGCTCAGAATAGAAAGAAAAACATATTGCATGCAGGTCACAGTTATTTCCTTCACAGGGATATCTAAAGCAATGACTTTGTGGCCTTGTGACTAAGTAATCATCAAGGGAGAGTCAGCAGTGCAAGAAGTCAAAACAAGCCTGCTGCTCTTGAAGGCCAGTGGTACCAGCAGTGCTGGAGGGCAGGCAGGGAGGAAAATCCCTGACCTGCTGCATTTCCTGATACTGAAAATGTCTGGCAATAATCCAGCCATCAAGAAAGGTCAATAACGCAATTTACTTTTCAGTGACTATAGCCATGCTCCCCGTCCTCAGAGTCCAAGGTCTACTCAGCACACCCCCTTTCCTGGGCAGGTTCATGCAGAGGGTTAGTGAGGCTACAGATTTGTTTTCAAAATATCAACAGGGAGCAACCAAAAGTGAGGTATGGGTAAAGGAGAAATAAGAGGTATGTGAAAGACACAACTTGATCTGAGTCCTTCTTCAGATCTAAAACTGTTAGAAACTAAAATTTCTACTTATGTTTATTGGTGGTCTCAGTGAACTGGGATAGAGGGTAAAATGGGGGTCTGAAGGTTTTGGGAGGAACACTTCCCACACAGGGAGAACTGTTTTGCACATGGTAGAATTTGGTAATTGTTAGCATTTTCAGTTTTCAAGGTGATCAATGATTGATGCCTATACCTTTTACTATGGAAATGCACAGGGAGAGAAATGTTAGCTTCTTCAAATGAAATCTGTCCAAATAACTCCAGTTCACAAAGAGAGACAAATACCAGGACTCTAACTCATTTTGAACAAAACACTTCTTTTGGTATGAGAATCTAAGGTCAACTTTTAATTTGGATATTTTATAACATTCAGGCTAAAAATATTTCTTATTACTAGCAGAAGTAATACAGCTAAAGGAAAGAAATTCTATATAAACAAAAGTAAAATAATTCCTATGCTGCGGGACACTACATATAATACAAGTGTTTTAAGTACACATTTTATATGTTATTAGTTCACAAAGAATTTGTTTTAAAAGTATCATTGCTTATGGCAATGATATAAAATATTGCATGATTTGATATAAAGCATGATTTGATAGTTTAAAATACATCACTTAGAGTAGCCTATTATTCAATTTGCTGCTTTCAAATATACTACTATTCTATCATTGCAAAGTTCTGCAAATTAACTGTAAATAATTTCAACCAATTTAAAGATATTTTAAAAATTCAATATTAAGCATATAAAAATAATTATTTACTGTAGAGCTTTCATATTGCTTTATATTTATAAATTTAGGAAATAGGAAGACTTACCATTAACAGCTTTTTCATAATTTTTTCCTAGGTTTATTAAATTTCGCAGCCCAGGATTGAACTGTTCCACAACATTCTGACAAAAAACAAACAAGACAAACAAATTAATAAAATAAACAAGCCAATGAATCTTTAGATTTTGTCACTGTGCAGCCGAGAAGACCTATGTATGTCTAACAGTACAGTCTACAAAGCAATGGATGTCACCTTTGAAATAATTAACAGCACCCATTTCCTGTCTGGTGGGGCAGGAGTGCTCACATGTGGCCAGGTGTCTATGCAACCCTGGCAGTTCTCCAGCTGCCTGAGGGCTGCCTAGAACCTACTATAAATGGATCAAGCTGCAGACTTTCAGGTCTCTACTGTCCAAGATTACCCCACTGGGACTGTGGGCCCAGAAGCTAATGCTTCCTCTTGGGTTTAAGTAGGTTAATGGCTGTCATTCTAGCATTAAGAAAGAGGCCCCTGATCAGCTACATGAGCTTAATTATATGGGCAATGTTTTGGCTATCAGTCTGACAGAAATTTCCAAGAGATTACTAGGGGATTACTAGGGGAGTGTAGAGGTGGGTGTTGCTGATGGCTCTAGGACACAGGCCAGCCTGGAATCTTCTTTTTAGGTGGTCACTGGCGTTTTTTTCTAGTGGCCATTTATTCATGAAGTACTAATGGAGTAATTATCCTGGGCATACACTCATGGGCGAAAAGACATGGTCTTCCTCTCATGCATTTCATGGGGCAGTATTCCAGCAGATGCCATGGTTTTGATTTTAAAAAGTATCATTCCTATATCATTAGAAAAGCATAAATATAGAGACAAATGCTATGTCAAGTATGAAACATGCAATTATTTAGAACGTTGGTCTAAATTTAAAATATCCTAAATCTGAAGTACAGAAAACAAATCATTCCTATGGTACTGGCTTCCTGACTCAGAACACACAGTGGGTGTATATATTTGTTTTCATGATCAATTAATCACTCCAAATAGGCCGCTCAAGCCACAGTGCCACCTCTCTCATAATGTGCACTGTTAGTTGATGACCAGAAAATAAAAAGAATGACAAACTACTCAACGTTCAGAAGGGTAGATACTTCACACATACTCTTCAGGATAAAAACGTTCTCCATTATGAACTGGGTACATGGAGAGAACATGTTTATTTTTGTCAAATAGTGATAAAGGCTTAGAGTGAAAAACAACCCCTGCCTCAACCTTTCCCTACTCCAAGCCTCACTCCCAACAGCACTTTATTTTTTTAAAATTTTATTGTGCTTTAGGTGAAAGTTTACAGCACAAATTCGTCTCTCATTCAAAAATTTATACACAAATTGTTCTGTGACATTGGTTGTAATATGTCAGCACTCTCTCCCTTTCCCTTTCCACCCTGGGTTCTCCATGTCCATTTGTCCAGTTTTCCTGTCCCTCCTACCTTCTCGCCTTTGCTTTTGGGCAGGTGTTGCCCATTTGGCTTCGCATAATTAATTGAACTAAGAAGCACATTCCTCGGGTGTGTTATTGTTTGTTTTATAGGCCTGTCTAATCTTTGGCTGAAAGGCAGACTCAGGAGTGGCTTCAGTTCTGAGTTAGCAGAGTGTCCAGAGGACGATAACGATAATTTGCCAGCCACTCTCTCTAAAGTGGATTGTAATTCACTTTCGGTTTCCCCTTTTGGGTTTCCTACAGTCGGCCTTTTTTTTTTTTTTTTTTTTTACTGTGCTTTAGGTTTACAGAGCAAATTAGTTTCTCATTAAATAATTCACACACATATTGTTTTATGACATTGGTTATCAACCCCACAATGTGTCAACACTCTCCTCTTCTCAACCTCAGGTTCCCTATTTCTATTCATCCAGCTTTCCCGTCCCCTCCTGCCTTCTCGTCCTTGCCCCTAGGCTGGTGTGCCCATTTAGTCTCATATTCATGGTTGAGCTACATGGATTATTGTTTGTTTTCTTAGCCTAATTTTTGGCTGAAGGGTGAACTTCAGGAGTGACTTCAGTATAGTTAAAAGGGTGTCTGGGGGCCATACTCTTGGGGTTTCTCCAGTCTCTGTCAGACCAGTGAGTCTGGTCTTTGTGAGTTAGAATTTTGTTCTACATTTATCTCCAGCTCTTTCTGGGACCCTCTATTGTGATCCCTGTCAGAGCAGTTGGTGGTGGTAGCCAGGCACCATCCAGTTGTACTGGACTCAGTCTGGTGGAGGCTGTGATAGTTGTGGTCCATTAGTCCTCTGGACTAACCTTTCCCTTGGGTCTTCCGCTTTCTTCATTCCCACTTGCTCCAGATGGGATGGGACCAGTAGAGTATATTAGATGGCCGCTCACAAGCTTTTAAGATCCCAGACACTACCCACCAAAGCAGGATGTAGAACATCTTCTTTATAAACTATGTTATGCCAATTGAGCTAGATGTCCCCTGAGACCATGGTCTCCAGCCCTCAGCCCAGTAATTCGGTCCCTCAGGGAGTTTGGATGGGTCTATGAAGCTTTTGGAACCCTGGTGGCACAGTGGTTAAGTGCTATGGCTGTTAACCAAAAGGTCAGCAGTTCAAATCCACCAGCCACTCCTTGAAAACACCCTATGGGGCAGTTCTACTCTGTCCCATAGGGTCACTATCAATTGGAATCCCCTCAATGGCAATGAGTTTGGTTTTTTGGTATGAAGCTTCTATGACTTTGCCTTGGTCAAGCTGTGCTGACTTCCCCATCTCAACAGCATTGTTAACTGAGCAACTATTCTTAAGTTTACTGCCATAATTTTGAATAATATCATTGTACTATTCTTGTTTTTTCAACTTTGGACCCTACTAGTAGCTTTCTGCTATAGTGGATGAGGACTTAGCTCACTACACCACCACTCTCCCTTCCCCAATCTTTCTTATACAATCACAGTTTTTAGGTAAATCAATAGTCAGTGGTTACTTTATTATGGCTTTGTAAATATTAGTCACTACAATGCAAGGAATGTACTAAGAAATACGTTTTCTTTCTTGGTACAGCATTTTCGTTTTTCCTAGGATTAATAATTGTCTCATTTTTTTCTTGCTTAGTTTTCTATGTATCCACCTTAATTTTTTTTCCATGTGCTCCATCAGCTCTATTAGAGACCTAACAATATTATTTTTCAAATGTAAAAAACTGTCAGCTAATTTTGCAATTCCATTTTTCCCAGAACTTCTGACCCTCTGTTGTCCTGCTCAGTCTGGCCCGTGTCTGGGCCTGCTGCATTGTCGCCATTAACCTTCCCTTTCTGGTCTCCTGGTTAGAGCTCTCCTTGGCTGGATCCCACGTCTTCCTATTTCTTGGATTATTCCTTTTTTGCTGGGGATCACTCTCCAGGAAGGTCCTAAAACATGATGTAGAAGAGGTAAATTTGAATTCCTGTGTGTCTGAAATCGTCTTTACCTTGACATTTAATTGCTCTTTTGCTGGAGAGAGTATTATAGATAGAAAATGGTTTTTCCTTAGAATTTTTAAGATATTGCTACACAGTCTTTAGCATCCAGTTTTGCCATCATTTTGTCTTCCTTTGTAGGTGGACCTTTTTTTTTTTTTGCTTGTTTGCCTATTTCTGAAAGTCTTCTCTTTATCCCTCTTTTCTGAAATTGCATTAATGATCTGTCTCAGTGTGCACATTTTAAAATTTATTTTACTGGGTACTCAATGGACCTCATACATATGAAAAATTAGTCCTTCAGGACTAAAAAAAAGTTCCTATTTTATTTCTTGTCTCTTTGCTCTTTCTGCAACTCTGACTAGGATTTTACACATGCTGGATTTATTCTCTAATCATCTTACCTTTTCTCTGATTTCCCATTTTTGGTCTTTTTGTCCTCCATCTCTGACAGATATCCTCAACTTTTTGTTCCAACTCTTCCATTATGTTTTTTAACTTTTGATATCCTATCTTTAATTTCTAAGAGTGCTTTCAAGTTTCTTAATTGTTTCTTTTTAAAAGCATTCTGTTCTTGTTTTATGGATGCAATACCTTATCTGAATATATTAATTATGCTTTTTTGGTGTTTCTTCCAGTTCCCCATATCATCTCATTGTTATTTCTTCTCATTGCTTGGTATTCCTCTGTCTTTCATGTTAGAGGCTTTCCTTAAATATCTGGTAATCCTTGATCGTCAGTTTGTATTTAGAAATAAAGCCCTAAAATGCAGGCTGGAAGGGTGTGGGGGTGTGTGTACAGGGTGCTTGCTGACTACTAGGCTTCACTGCAGAGTGACTGAACAGCAAGTCAGCTGTTGAGGAACTGGCCGTATGACAGTTACCAGAGACCCCTGGGTTTCTCCACAGAAGAATTTAAAAAAAAAAACTTTTCTTTGGTTATAATATATGTTAAAAAAAATACACTCATTCAACATTTTCTATATAGACAGTTCAATGACACTGGTTACATTCTTCACATTGTATCACCATTCTCAATATCTCTACCCATATTGTTTCATCAATAACTTAGACTCTCTGTCCCCTAATCTTCTACTCTGTGTTTCAGAGTTACTGATATCAATTTGATCTCATATAGATAATTCTTTAAAAGAGCTCACTGATCAAGTCAAACATTCTTTACTAACTGATCTAAACTGTTGTTCAGTTTAAAGATGACTTCATGATCTAGTTTCAGTTCACAGCTTAGAGATTATCTCAGGACAATAGCTTCGGGTGTTCTCCCTGTCCCAATGGATTCAGTAAGTCTGGTTTCTATAAGAATTTGAAACTCTGTTCCACATTTTTCTTCTTTTTGATCAGGATTCATCTCTTGGGTCCTTGAGCAAAACATTCAGTGATGGTAGCAGGGTACCATCCCATTCTTCTGGTCTCATGGCAGTGGGGCTAGTAGTTCATCGAGGCAATTAGACTTGCAGTCCATTTCCTTTTCAGTTTCCTAGGTCCCTTCTTCCTCTGCTGTTTTGGGTGACTAGAGACAAACTGTTGTATCTTGGATGGCCGCTAGAGACGAACTGTTGTATCTTGGATGGCCACTAGCAAGCTTTTAAGACCTCAGGCATTACTCACCAAAACAGGAGGTAAAAGAGAGTCTACAAACAGTATTAGGCCAGTTGACTG